ATGAATAATTATTATTAATTAATATTAATATAAGTTTAATCTCTATAGTTTGGTGGTTCTGGTGAGACCCCACCTGGAATGCTGCATCCAGCTTGGGAGTGCTCAGCACAGAACCTGTTGGAGCGAGTCCGGGGCAGGCCATGGAGGTGATCAGAGGGCTGGAGCACTCCTCCTGTGGAGACAGGCTGGGGTTGTTCTGCCTGGAGGAGAAGGCTCTGGGGAGACCTTAGAGCCCCTTCCAGTACCTAAAGAGGCCTACAAAAGAGTTGGAGAGGGACGTTTTACAAGGTAGTACAGTGATAGGACAAGGGGGAGTGGCTTTAAACTGAAAAAGGGAGGGTTTAGATTAGATACTGGGAAGAAATTCTTTACTGTGGGGGTGATGAGGCACTGGCACAAATTGCCCAGAGAATGCTATCGTGTTAAAGTGAACAGGAAAACAAAAAGAAAACAAAAAGAGCATAGATTTCAAGATAACACAAAGGAATTTACCTTAATAGCAGCGTTGTCCAACTGTCCTGCTGTCTGATGGCTGAGCTATCTAAAGGGAAGAGGAATGTGCTTATATATGTTGTCTATTTGGATTTAGCTTTGCATGTGCTGTTGGAAGAAGTTTTCAGTATGTAATTTCTAGTTGGTCACAGACCAGAGGGTTAAAAATGTATAAAAGGTAATTCTCTGAATTCTTTTTGACTTCTTACTGTCAGGTCTCCAAACAGTTTTGAAGAGACTGAGGGTGGCTAATCTACCCACATCTCCACCTGGTTTAAGCATCATTGTCTCCTACCCCTCAGTGCTGCTCACTTGACCATCTTGTTATCCTCTGTGGTACAAGGAGCCCTTTACACTCAACCATACATAAAAACTATGGAAAAGTGAAGAAAAAATAACAAAAACTTACTGGAAAAGTAGAATTATGCGTTGCCCCTAAATCTGGAGCATCTATGAAATGCTCCAAAGCATTTAGTACACGATGAATTGTCCAGGGTCCGTCTGGCTGGAGAAGAAAGCCAACAAGCTGATGATGATTTACAGGTTGAAGAGCTCGCTGAAGTTTGCCCTTGCTGGAGCCTTGAACACATTTGTGCCTTTAGGTGTCACTGTTCACCTGTACCGTGCGTCCCCCTCGCTGAAAAGAGCCGTGTCTGTGTCACACCAGCCGACTGAAGAAAAATTCCAAGGCTGCTCTGTTGCTACAGCTCTGCAATTCAGAGGAGCAGGACGAGTGCAACATTAACCTGAGGTGAGTGGTCTGATCTAATGCAAAGCAGAAGCTTGGACAACCAATTTGGTTGTCTTCCTTCAGTAACACTGAATCAATTCTGATTTTTAATTTATTTTTCCCCATCTCCAGTTGCTGGATGCTCCTGTGAATTGGTTGCAACACAGTGCAAATTTGATGTATGTCACAGTCTTGCTGGATTTAGTGTCACACAAAAGTGGTAGTAAATTTTTTTTCAGCACATGTGTGTGTGATAATTGCTCAGAAATCCAACACTAGAAGTGATGGATGGTTTGATGGACCTGTCAGGATGCTCATGCTCATAATTATGGCCAAGAAGTGAAATTAAAACAGCCTTCAGGTATATCAGAAATCACGTGACAACATTGCAATGCATGCTGTATTTTGTTGTGTCCACTAACCCTCTCTTGTGTTTGTGACAAAATATCAGAACGCTAAAATTGATGAGTACAGCTGTACTGAAATCTGAACCAGCATAGTTCCACTGACCCACCTGCAGTCAGCAGCATGGAATAGTGTTGCAGTGTTGTTCAAGATGTTGCTTTTCTCCTTTCTGACAAAAAACATTGGAGTTCTGCACTTTCCCAAAAATTAGTGTTTTCCTTTATGTAGAGAATCATAATAATCCTTCAACTAACTGGCATTCCAGAAAGCCATACACCAAAACCCTCAGAGTACTCCTGCTTTGAGAACATAGGTGAACTTTCTGGTCTGTTACATGGCATTAGGATTTTGAAAACGAATTTGCACAATGTTCTGACTGCTTATAACTCTGAAATCGGTGGTATTCAGACATTAAATTTGATTCCTGCACTATTTCTCATAATGTTTTTTGATTTTAAAACCAGAGCTTCCTCCTTTAGTCCACTCAGTGACATGCTGGACCCTACAGTACTTTCAATTTTTCTGAAGAGAGCTTTTGCTCTCTTAATACTCTGAATTTATCCGTGTTCAACCCTGTTAAGTCTGAATTGAGGCTGACATTAAGAAAGAGTCTCCATTCCCCCTGAACACCCATATCCACAAATCTTTCCCTGAAAGGCAAATTGCTCTCTGGAAAACAGATGTGGGGTAGGCACATTTAACAGCACCCTGTGGCGAGATACCTCCAGGATTTTCACTATTAGGACACCTTGGAAAATTATTCATATTAAAAAAAAAAAAAAAAAAAGGAAGAAAACAAAAAAATGAACACTTATTCTAGCTATGATTTATCATTCTGATGATGCACTTAAAACATATCCTTTTCCTTCTAAGATGATGCAACTGAAGTGAAAAGATAAGGTTATTCCAATAGCAGGGATATTGTCTAGAGAATGCTGAGGACAAACCCATCAAAGCGTATCTTCCCAGGCAAAAAATTCCAGAGATAATCTTTCTGAACATTTCTGATGGGAACTCAAGACTCAAAGACACTTTTATAGGATCTGCCATCAATTTGTTAATTACTATCAGCTTAATCTTGTAACATCAGACATGTCTTTACCTAGTTGGCATTAACAGCAGAAAAGGGCCTTTGTACAGCCTTTTACCTCATCTACACCATAAGCTATTAACTGTTCTGGAAAATAGAAAGGTTATTTTGCCACATCGGCTACTTCTTTGTAATTTCTTCCTCATGGGTTTGTAAGTATCAAAAATAATTTCCCTTATTTTCCACTGGTAGACATGGAGTAGAGTAGGGAATAACTTCACACAATTTAAATTTAGCCTGGAGGAATGTTAAATGCCCCCATTGATAGTAGCAGGCTCATGATGCAAGAGAGGCTAAAATCTTCCAGACAGCAACAATCAACCATTCCCCATAACGGGACTTAACAAAAACCCCAGTCAATCCATTAAATAGATATATTCAGAAAGGGACCTATTTTATCCAGAACTCTAATTCTATAAAATTTTGTATATAACTGCTCCTGGAATGGGGCAGAACATCATATGGAAACTTCAGGAGACAAACAACACTTCCCAGTAGTCAATTTAAAAATAAGGCAAATACATTAGGAAATTGGAACTAATTTACCAGCTAAACCTTCTCCATGGCTTCTTCCATAGTACAGGAAATCATGTTTTCTTGGAGGCCGAGCAGTTTTGCAATTCAGGCCCTAAGCTATGCCATTAACAGAGGGGCTGGGAGAGCATGTGAAAAAGCAACAGGAGTCTCTGTCTGTATGTACTTAAGAGAGCCCCAGCCACAGAGCAGTGGATGGAGAATCATTGCCTTCCAAGCATCAGCACATAAAAATAATAAATACTGAGCAGCCTTCAGCAGAGGAAGAAGCAGAACTTCACCTCTGCCATCACATCAGGAAGTTTGCCATGTGCAGACCACGAGGTCCCACTCACTGTGAGGGCACCTTGGGCTGGTCTCAGTGCACCCAAAGGGGCCCCCTGGCACCGTACTAAATAAATGTCCAACAGCTGGAGCGCAGGGCTGGTCACTGACCTTCATCCCCTTGGTTTGCCTGGAGCAGAGCGCTTGGGGGGATTTAACAGAGGCACTTTGATCTCCTTCCACGCAGACGGTTCTGTGGATCTGCCGCAGGCTCTGCTGCAGCCTCACAGCACACGTGGGGTGCTGGGGCCAGCACACGGGCCTGTGGGGTGCTAAATCACAGCTTCTGAGCTGGGTTTCATGATGCATAAATCACTGAAATATGGCCATAAAAGTTGTGTCTCCTGAAAAGGGCAAACCTCTCAAAAAAAGATGACCCTTCAATTGTTTCAGAAGGTACCTGGTAAAACAAAAAAGATTATTCCTATATGAAAGGGGACCCCCCCAGTTTGCAGCAAGAATGACAAAGCCAAAATTCCCTAGCCACTGCAAATCAGAGGTTTCTATCAGATAGTGTAGCCTGGCCAATCTCTGCACAGATGAACTGTGAGAAGAATAGCAAGCCAAAACAAGAGTATGACTGTGCATAGTAGGCTTGAAACAACATTCAAGCACCAACAGCTACAAGAATTTCTTTCTTTACAGTTTTTACAAGGTGCTTTAATTCATCCTTTTCTGCAGCTCCTGCCTTCAAATTGTTTTGGTAGAAAGCTGTTTGGGATTTTAATTTTAATCTCTCTACATGATAAAACAAAATATAAAAATGTCCTTTGTGTATTATGGTTTGACTTGCTTGGAAATGTTATGGACAGAGCTAGCTTGTGCAAGATTTGAAAAATCAGCAGTCTTTCCCAAATGACAGCATCTCTTTCCTATTCGTTCTTTTTTTCATCTAGAGTGAAGTGTGTTTAAATTAGTGAAAAATCAGTCTCCAAATAGTAACTCTGCAATTGGTATGGGGGCTTGGGGATTGTTTTCTTGTCTCTTTTTCTTCTAGGCTTGTTGTTGTTGGCTTGATTTTGGTTTACATTTTTTAATGGGGGAAGTGCTGGGAGAGGGACTAGGTTTTATCTGGCAGATTTTCTTCATTCTGACCAGTCGTGTCAGAATGACATTTCGTTCCCCTCACTCCCTCCAATATTCCTAGGCAGTCAGCCAGATGAATAGACTCCACAGCTACTCAAAGACAAAATGTCTGAGTCTCATATGTCTTAAGATACCTTTACATTTCTGTAGTGCTGTAGATGCTTCTTAAATAAAGCCCACCCAAAGCAGCACTGAATTCAGTAATCCTGGCAACGTCCATGTGTTTACTGCTTTATCTGTGTCCCCTGGAAAGGTCTGAAGGAAAAGAAACAAGAAGCCAAGAGAGCTGTCAGAACATTCTTTCCACCTTCTTCATTGATACCCTTCATGCCATTCAAGTAGACTCCGGAATACACTACTTTAATTAGCAAAGCTTGTTTTAAAGTAAACAACACAAACACTCCTTATAGGACAGTCACAGTCTCCCCTGCTAGATATACAGGCTTTTTGGCAAGATCACATTCAAACAGCATGAAATTCACCCATGGGCATGGTTCCAAGAAGGCCCTTGCACCTCTCTAACTTCCATTTAGCTGCTCTGGATAGGAGTGAGTGGTTTGTGGGATAAGGACAGTTTTCCTCCAAAAAGCAAAAGATGGTCCAAATCCACATCTGTAAAGATCATCAGTTTTACCACAATAAGGTCATAAAGGTGTGATATAGGCGTCATGCATAGAGTACATACCATACTTCAATTGAGTCCTGTCCCCGAGTGACTTTGAGCCCCCGTGAAAGAACAACCATAACACGCCTGCAGTGGAACCCTTGGTCGCGGTCTCTGCTGCATTGTGCTCTTTCCTGGGAACACTGCAAAGTCATTCACCAGACAGGAGTCAGGACAGCAGTAAGAAGAGTATCCTCATGAGGAAGCTCTGACAGGATTCCTTTTGACAAATGGGAGAACATGAGAGTCCCATCTTCGTTCAGTAATTGCTAAACAAACAAAAAATCAGAAATCATTAATGCGACATTGACCCATAAAATGCTGATCACTGAGGCCCTGTTCTCCCCTGTGCCACACACAAGGAACAACAGATACTCAAAGTAAACAGGGTAAGAACAAAACAGTATGGAAATAATGTTGGTTCCTTAACAAATGTCTTACTGTAGTCCATTTATGCTGACTGACACTGGTTGTTCTTTTCAGTTATAGCTGTGCAACAAAATCAGACATGTCTCATCTTCCAGTCTTGATACTGAGCTGTTGCTGATTTTCTTTTGTTGGTCAAGTTATTTAATTTTTCTGTTATTTTTCTTTTTTTTTTTATTTTTCTTTTTTTTTTTCTTTTTTTTCTTTTTTTTTTTTCCTTGTTTACATCTATGTTGATCAACACTGATACATTACAGATCTTAGTTATACTTTGAAGTCTGATCATGCAGAACTACAGGCAGGTGCAACTTAGATCTTATTAAAGGATGAACATGGCAAGGTGAACAGTTGTATTTGCTAGTTAAGATCTGGAGCTGTTACTGTTGTGGCTTAATGTATACTGGCCATAAGTCCCACTTACCCAATTTACTAAATATACATGATTCTATATGTACACTGAAACTTCCAGCACCCTCCTTTATCAACACGTGACTGACTCAGGAGAAGGTCAGAGGTCAACCATATTTAGGCAAACAGCAGCCTTATTGTAAAAGTTTTTAACAGAAATAGTGTGTTGAATTATTACATATTAGTTACAGAGGAAGGAAAAAAATTAATTCCATACAACTATTTACATTATAAATATCTTGCTTTCCAGAAGACAAGAATGGCCCTGTTCAGTGAAAATTAGCAAAAGAGACCTGTCTGAAATGATAAGCATGGTAAGGATACATTTATTTCCCAAATTGACTGTGTCTTCCTTTAATATGTGCTTTTCAGCTTTTCCCTCTCAGGTAAAAAGGCACCATTAGCCTCAGTCGAAGTTTTTCAACATTCTTTTGTCAAATCAAAGCCTCTTTAAAACTCAAACTTGCCATAGGCCAACGAGCCTGAACATGCATTAAGTTAAACATTTCACTTCTTGCAATCAATTGTTAATTAAAAAAACCCCAAACCAACAACAAAAATGAAAGAAAAATCAGGCCCCACTGGCAAGTTACTAAGAATATACACTAAGAAGATTCCACTAAATTCCACTGGACAGGTCAGTTTTCCAGCTCATTGGTGAAGATGACACATTCACCATTCCCCTGCATACCTCAAGCACCTTACTAATTAAGACAATTACATATTCATGTGGTATTCAAACCTACTGCATAATGATTTGCTTTTTTTTTTTTTTTTTTGTGTATATGTGTGTATATGTTTGTGTGAAAAAAGATCATGTTGAGCTTGCAATTAGTTAACTGTGTCCTTTGTAAAGTGGTGGAAGTTTAAATAAGCACAGCTATCAGATTCTTGAAGATGTGTTGATTATGTTACAATTCCTCTCTTTATCCACACTGACAACTGGGATCAAGCACAAGTGGAACAGAGGTTCTAAAAATCCGTATTAACACCCTCTCTTCCCTACACACACGTGCAGAAGTAAAGAAAAAGAAAAGCCTGAACATAAATTGAATTACTAGCTCAGACTTTAAAAAGAAAACTATTTGGTCCCTGCAGGTTTTCTTTCTATTGCACTCCCTGGAAGCATAGAGTTTGTTGCAAAATGCCTTTTTTGTTTGTTTGTTTGTTTTTGCATGTTTGAATTCACACAAAATTTTAAACTCTAAATAAACATGAAGGAAGAAATATAAATAGATCTGAATATAAATAAATAGATCTGAAATGAAAATAGTTTTTGGTCCTTTGAACTACTGTGAAGCTCTCAATATATATAAGCTAGCATTGGTTACTAGAAGTTACTTCGAATCAAAATATTCCAATTCCATTTTACAATAATTCAAACATATTTGAAACATATTTTTAATTTAAAAATTTGGGAGATTTTCTAAAAGTGACTCTCTCAGGCAGTTCTAAAAGTTACTATTAGCATGTTTTTAATGAGAAAAAAAAAATTGGTGGAAAAGAAATCACTGGTGCTCACTGACAAATTTAGAATACAATCCAAATCACTTAAGAATTGGGAAATTCCCTAAAGGCATTCTTTAAAGACCTAGACTGCAACAGGTCTAATTTCCTCAGTATTGTTCAGAATTAGAAAGTAAAGCAATATCTATGAGGATAAAGGAATGTATATGAACCAAATTGCTTATAAATTTGGAAGAGTGACATAGTCACATGATCATCTGTCTTGTGTAACCTTCCGAAGCCAATTCTGTGCAGGAACTGGTCATTTCCAGAGGAAAACCATCAGTGCATTAAGGCTTAGAAAACCTGACCAGGCTTTCTGTAGCTTTGTTGTTTTGGTTTTTTAATGGGTTTTGGGGCTTTTTTTTCTTTTTTTTTGGTGGGTTTTTTGGCACACTGCCATCCAGTTTAAGTCCGTTTTATATAATGCCAACTTGCTATGATTCATGAATCTATTTGTGCAATGGAATTCTAGATAGGAGGGGGGAATATCAACCACAATATAAGTCAAATAAATCACAGTGATCAACTCAAATATCTGAACTCTCTGAAAACATATTGTAATGGAGTATAATCAAAACTCACAAAATACTATTACAGCTACCAAGTCAGTATCTGAAGACCATTTTCAAAAACTGCCAAAAATTTTGGATTGAAAACATACATAAACCCTAAATTCCCACAATACATGACCTTGCATCAACTTGTAATAAATCAATGCCTCATCCCCATTTAAACTCAGCAGTGAGAAAGAAAATGGAGGGATGGTCTTTTAAGAACTGTTCTGACTTATTTCTTTTTATTTTTCCTCATACTATCCCAAAGTTCTTCATCTGAAAAAAAACCCAGGGATGTTTTGCAGCAATCTTCCTCTCTATCATCTCAATGCAGCTAGGGCTCTGAGCAGTCACTGACAGATAATGCTCGTGCCATTCTCGTCACCCTGCTGATGCCTATATACATGACTTAGGTGGGCCACTTGGGACAGAATTTCCTAGGGTGTTGAGGCACTTACGACTCCAAGAGGCTCTGAGGCATATTTTCAGAAATGCCAAGGTGTCCAGCTGCCTTTCAGGATTATGTTAGTTATGCCACTTCTGGCACAGGCTCACTGATTGCCCCCTATGGTGCCTTGGAACATCTGTCAGAGATCTTTGGCTTCCCAATTTCCTTCATTTCTGTGTATGGCAGTGATGCTTACAACTGCAAACCTCAGAGAATTAATTGAAAAGTATTGCCAAAGTACTATATTTAGAAATGTGTTAAGCAGAAGTAGATTTAAAAGATCAATGGCAAAATTAAGGAAAGAATCTATCATTATCAAGCTGAATAAAATTTTGGAATAATGGGGAGCAGACTTTAAGAGTACTGTATAAAAACTTCTAGAACCAGAAAAAAAAAGTGGTTCCCCTTAAAACGCCCTCAGAACATCATCACTACAATCCTTTATTCAAGAGTATATGTGTTATTGTAAGGTATCAGCTGACCGCAGAGAATTCCTGGCACAAAGCAAAATGAAGGATGCTATTCTTGCTACTTCAGTTTGGACATACAAGGACCAGAACTGTAAAGAACTAATGCTTTTCTTCATTGATGGCTTTTTTTTAATAGTGTCCAATGTGGACAGCTCCAAGTCTCCTCCCCCAGACAGAGCTTCTCATGAAGGAGACTGATTTGAGGACAAAAAGAGATGCAATAATTCTTTCAGGCCCCATTTCAGCAAGGCACTTAAGCACATGCTGATGTCAATCACTGCTGAGCAAAGGACAAAAGCACACGCTAGTTAAATTTTTGTAAGCATCCTACAGTCTCCATGAGATGTTCGAACAAGCACTGGTGCCTAGCAGAATCAGAGAATAAAGCTGATTATGTAACTCCTGTGTTGTGAGTCCATTCAGCGCCCACCTAAGGACACCTTCTCCTGTGACTGCTTCTCTACCCTGCACTCATGAACCCAACCAGGACTGAATTATACCATGGGACTAAGAGCACAGATTTGCCCTCGAGAGATGAAATGTAGGAGGTCTACAAGTCTCCATCTACTCTAAATGGCTTCTCTATTGCCTATGCCACATCTCCATAACAGCACTGGTGATGAACTGGGATTACTCCAAGTTTCTGCAGTCTACACTGGTGATATTTTTGCAGTTTTACCTCAGTGAGACTTAGTTTAGTTTTGCTTAAATAACACACCCAAATGGTGCACACTAAGGAATGTAAAGTAGATACTAGTTACCTGAATATTATTAATATGTATCTATGGTGAAATAAATCAGGAGGTGATATATTTAATTATTGCTAAGACGTCACCCTTGGTGTTATTGCCTACATACCTACAGAGCTTTGCTGTTAACCTTTCAATACTTTCATGATCATTGGCTTTGGAGTGAGAGTTACATCACTCAATAATGACCTGATGTTTCATGGCTTAAGAGAGAATATTGCTAAATATATTTAGCAGTAGTAAATTATTGCTTTTAAAATTACTGCTCTGAGTTTTTAGAACATTAACAACCTAGTTTTAGTCTCAAAAAAATTTGATAAAAATCTACCAAAAATATAATCAGGGAAAGACCCCCACTTCCTACAGCAATTCTGATACAGCTCAGACCTACCAAGTCTGATTTTATTTTATATCCTCTTCATTTTTATCTCGCCTCCTGCCCCCTCTGTAGAGAAATTTTTCCTTCCCTTTCCTCCCTTTGAACAAAATCTGACTTGATACTAATTTTTTTTCCTACCACAGAATGGCAGGCTCATAAGCCACCCAATGGAACAGACCTATTTTGGTAGAGTTTTGAATACAAAAGAATTAGTGAATTTAAAATATCCACTAACATAGTCTAAACAGTTTCTCTCTGTGGCATTTGGAAAAGCATTAGAGTAAGATTTATCTCATTTCAGTTTACATGGCATACTTTGGTAAAAGAACAGATGACTTGAATTTTAGTTAATTTCCAACTCTGGTAATGATGACCTCACAGTGGAAAATGCCAATTGCTGTTTCAGCTGGAAAAAAATATCCAATGGTTCTGAAATTCTGTGTGGAATTTTGTCATTCTCTACTAAAAACACTTGCTGTTACATACCATGGGAAATCCTCTGCTTTATTACCTGGCAAATTCAATTTGATATTCAGTCACTGTTGGGTTCTTCAGAACTTGTCCATACTAAAAACACTTGCTGTTACATACCATGGGAAATCCTCTGCTTTATTACCTGGCAAATTCAATTTGATATTCAGTCACTGTTGGGTTCTTCAGAACTTGTCCAAACTGCCCAAGACCCCTGGCTGCGACCCTTCCAGGCCAGCGCATGAGCTGATTGATAACCTTGGCTGACAGAATGTAGGGAAACCAGACCTATGCACTCTGTGGTTCTTTTCTGTGTAACACAGATGCTAAAACTTCCTGGGGAGCCCACTGATTTGTCATGAGGAAATGAAGAGCCAAAAGCACCCCATAGAATGCCTGTTCTCTGAGTAGCAGAAGTGCCTGCAAGGGAATGATGAAAAGGGAAAACAACCTCTGAGTTGCAAACACACACTGAGAGGGAATGGGCTGCAAATATCCTTTCTCTAGCTAACCTAATAAACATCTAGACATAAAATAAAAACAAGTTGGTGCATGTTCTTTTGATCATAGTTAGCTTATTCCCCAACCCTGTCATACCCTCTAATTTACAAACATACATGTACTTCAAAATAGCGAGCCTATCTATGCCCTAAGATGATAATTCACTTAACATTGACAGAAAAAGTTGCTTACTGATACCTTTCTGGGCTTAGACATGCATAAAACCCCTTCATTCTTGTTCCCTGTAGCTTGCAAAGATACATGTGCTTCCTTCTAACCCAGTCTTATCTTGGCATATCTGCTCTAAAAATCAGAACAAGAAGTCTTAACATTCACAAACTAGCATTTTTCTATGAAGCTCTGTGGCTTCTTCTTTCAATAAAACTGGTTATTATTTCAAAATATATATAAAATTCTCAGCAGAAATTTGGTGCTACATCTTCAAGTGTCTGAGGGAGCCACAGTTTTGTGTGGTTATTTACACTTCCACAAGTCCTCATACAGTATATGTAACCTCCTCAAGGAGCAAACAAATAGAATATGTACTGTAAGATCCCATATGTAGTCAAGCAGTTCTCCTGGAATGGGCCATTTATAGTCATGGAGTGCACACTAAGTACCTGTGCAGATGTACAGGCACACAGCTGCATGCACTGCCAGGATTCTGTTGGCACATGTGTGTATATGTGTGAGGAAAAATGCATGGAGATCCCTGCCTGCCTCACTGGGCAGCAGGCAGAACAGACAGTGAAGGCAGACACACACTCGTATGGTGGAGCGTGGCTACTGCACACCTTGTCATGCCAGTGTGAAAAAGACAGTTGCAGGTTGCTGGTTTTGCAGCCATTCATTTTACATCTTGTGGGGAGGGGGGTAAAAAAAGGATTTTTCAGTTCCTTTTTTCCTTTTCCCCCCCAGTAAGCATCACTGGAAGAAGACCAAAGCAGAGCAACTATAAGTTAAATACACACTTGAGCTTAGCTGCATTACATAACTCTGTAGGAGAAGCAGGCTGAAAATATTTTTTTTGTTTGTTTCTTTCTTTGTTTGTTTCACTTAAATCTCTGTATTTTATTTCTCTTTCTTTTAATCTCTTAGCTCCCATCTTTTTTTCCTCCTACGTTCCATCATCCTCTGAAGAACGCTGGGTTTCGCAGGCAGGCGGCTAGTCACCTGCAACAACCGAGGGGTCCCGCAGAAGCTTCCAGGCTGCTGTCCGTGTCAGACGCCAGGGTTTGATCCGTGGACATGGATGAGATGTCGTTGACAGATGAGGATGGAGGGAGGCTCTCACTGCTGTTCACTGCTGCACCTGTGCTACGAAAACGAACACCAACGTGATTAAACCCGAAACCCCAGAAGGTGTCACGCGTTAAAGAGCAGAGGGTGCTTACCTAGTGGTACACAGACCATTTTATCCAGTGGCAAGCCTCAGCAGGAAATGGGCCATACAAACTTTAGACATTGGATAATATTAAATATCTTACCAGGAAATTCTGTGCCTCACCAGTCTGCTTTGGAAAGTTATAGCTCATAGAGTGTTTGTCACCCCACTTTGTTCTAGCCCACTTGAAGTTCCAAAACACCCAGTAGTCAGAGGCATGTCAGCATCATACAATGTGTTATCAAAACAAAAACAGAACCCACCTATTCCTCCGTATTCTTCTTGTAAAATTCCAGTTTTCTTAGTGGCAGTTTAATCGAGCGGGTGGGATCAAATCACCCAGTGGAAATGCAGAGTGGTTTCTTTCTCTTACTAAGGATTAGGCGACTAAACCCAGGATTTCAGCTGCGACTGCATTTTTGTACATCCAAGTTTACCTCCCCTCTCTAAAATTATGATGATACCAGACATTATGCCAAAAATCACTTTGACTTTATGAAATGAACAATAAACCTTCCTGAGATTTTCATCAATGCAGCTGAACATTCATCACATCCCTGAATATTATCAGAAATTATCTGTCTGATAAATTCAGACAACTGAATGACAAATACAGAGCTATGTAAAGAATGTATTTAATGCACACCTATGACTGCTTAACTGTTACTGCTCATTAACCTCAGCTCAAACTAAAGTTTGCAAAGTAGCATAAGCCTGTTTGATTGGATTTTTTTTTTCCGTTTAACTTCCAGGTGATGTTTTTTTGTTCTCTTTATACCAAAATTAGCACTGTCTTCAGTTTGAGAGGGATACATTAATTCTCATTAAATATTCATGATAATAAAATGTATGATAATAAAATTTTGTATGATCTTGCATAGCTAGAAATTACAGCTAGGCAGGTGACACAGGTCTTTGTCCTGCAGATAGATGCCATTTTGTTCTTCTGTCTGAAAAGTGTGCTCAGCCAACTTTTACAGATTTTCATTTCCATCAAATGGCTAGAAACGAACATCTATTATCCAGTAAAACTACACAACTCATATATTCCTAATATAGAGATTAAAAGTTATGTCTATAAGCTAGGCAAAGTATTTGCTGCTATGGGCAAAAGGAAAGGATTTTTGTCACTTTTCAGTTTGCAATAATAACATTAATTTGAGAAAACAAGCCACCCAACCATACCTCCAACCACTATTCTATATTCCTCAGCTTTTTCTTCCCTTTATGCACAGCCACTGTAAATATGCACAAAATGGAGACAGATATGCTCACATTTAGAGCTCCAGATGGGAACCGCTTTCTGCTGTTCTAGTTATACATTATGGCATCAGGACCAATTAAATTCATTTACCCTCCTGATACATTTGGAAAATAAAATAGTAAATTTTGTAAGTGTTGCAAAACGAGCAATCTCAATGAAGTCTGACTAGTGACTGCAGACAGCAATCATCCACCCTCTCTGTCAGAAAATGTGTTTTTCAAAGGGTTATTTATGTGTACCTCATAATTCAGTACAATACTGTTACTTCATGTTTACTTGTTATTTAATCATGTGGCATTTTATGAAAATACTAATCAGTCAAGACAAGTGCATTTATGGGTATTCAAAATATGACTGAATTCATTCATATTAATGACTAAACAATATATTACTTTTCTGTGTTTACCATGCTGGGCAGAAGCCTGCCATTAAGCCATGGATACTGTCCTAAGAATAAAATTGAAAGAATTCCAGTAGGTTCAATCAGCTTTTGATCAAACTGCTGCTTTCTTTGGTGAACATGCACTCAACTTAGCCAGGAAAAATAACTGAGGAAATAGCTGCAGAAATTGTATGGGTGAAGATTTTGTTACACTGTCTGATTCAGCACCGCTGAATTCAATAAACCCTGCTATGATGTTCTATCAGTGCAGCCCACGAGTTTCTGGAAATTGCATTTTATGGCTATTCCCAGCTTTCAGCACAATTCCACATGACACAATGCATAGATGTGACAGCTCCTGCTGCATCCCCAAAGCACCCAGACTCACAAAGTATCACCAAAAACAAATGAAACCACGCTAAACCTCAATGACAGAATTAAAGAGCTCAGCAGCACAAAGCAGAACTTGGGCAGTAACACTCAGGAGCCCAAACAAAGCTGTCCCAGTCAGCTGTCCCAGTTACCAGTCACCTCAGGGCTCTGTGCTGGGGCTAGCTCTGTTCAATATCTTCATTGATGACCTGGATGAGGGGATTGAGTCCATCATTAGTGAATTTGCAGATGACACTAAGCTGGGAGCTTGTGTTGAACTGTTGGAAGGTAGGAGGGCTCTGCAGAGGGACCTGGAATGGTTGGATGGATGGGCAGAGTCTAACAAGATGAAGTTTAATAAGTCCAAGTGCCAAGTCCTGCATTTTGGCCACAATAAACCCCTGCAGCATTACAGGCTGGGGATGGTGTGGCTGGGCAATGCCCAGGCAGAAAGGGACCTGGGGGTACAGTGACAGCCGGCTGAACATGAGCCAGCAGTGTGCCTTGGTGGCCAAGGAGGCCGATGGCTCCTGGCCTGTATCAGGAATGGTGTGGCCAGCAGGAGCAGGGAGGTCACCCTTCCCCTGCATTCGGCACTGGTGAGGGCACACCTTGAGTGCTGTGTCCAGTTCTGGGCCCCTCAGTTTGGGAAGGACATTGAGACACTTGAGCAAATCCAGAGGAGGGCAACAAGGCAGGTGAGGGGCTTGGAAAACAAATCCTGTGAGGAGCGACTGAGGGAGCTGGAGGTGTTTAGCCTGGAGAAAAGGAGACTCAGGGTGACCTTATCACTCTCTACAACTTCCTGAGAGGTGGCTGTAGTCAGGTGGGGTTTGGTCTCTCACCAGGCAGCAACTGACAGAACCAGAGGACACAGTCTCAAGCTGCACCAGGGGAAATATAGGTTGGATATTAGGAAAAAGTTTTTCACATAAAGGGTGATAAAGTACTGGAATGGTCTGCCTGGGGAGGTGGTGGAATCACCATCCTTGAATGTGTTTAAAAAAAGACTGGATGTGGCGCTCAGTGCCATGGTTTAGTTGAGGTGTGAGGGCATGGGTTGGACTTGATGATCTTAAAGGTCTCTTCCAACCCTGTGATTCTGTGATTCTGTAAGGAATGCTCCATTTGCTGTGCTACACCAGTTTGCTCCTGGAGGGATGTGTGCCAGGTGAGACAGTGCAGATATGACAGAGGTGCACTCAAAAGAGAAAAGGAGCCCCATTTATAAAGTTACTGTTTTGCAGGAAGCTTCTCACTGGCTGCAGGATTGAGGAAAAGTGCTAAAGGTTAGAGCAGGTGAGAAACAGCGCCTGGGATCTGTTCCTGGCTCTGCTATTGCCTTGACAGCTTCTCTTTTAAAGCACACATCAGCTTGTGTGCTTTAAAAAGGGATTCCTTCCTGAGAGGGCTCCTGAGAAGCGCTATTAAAAAGCACCAATGGAAGTGCCTCTGAGACTTCAGCTGTGAAGTGACACAGATTTGGGGGTAAAAAACTGAAAGGAGAACTTCAGCTTTTGCAGTTTCCAAAAAAGCCCAGTGTCTGTATTGGGGATCTGTTCAGCTTCTCATAAATTGTGTAAATAGCAGCTCTTGCTATCAAGTGTCACAGTCCTTGGCAAGTCCATCAGCTGCTTAATTTAGAGTCTGCACATGACAGAAGAGGTGTCCTACTAGCAAAGGTGTCCAGTAGTTCCTGGGTGATGGCAAATCAGACAGCAAGAAAAAGGCAGGAAACAAAGAATAAAATATCCATTTTCACCTAGAAAGGGAATGCTAAAAATAAGCTGCACTAAGATCTGTGTTATTTACTATATTCTGTACCCAGAAAGGACAAGACAGTTGAAAATGTTATGTATAAAACTACAGCTGGGTAGTGAAGACTAGGGGAGAGTGTGAGAGGAGGTTAGATAATACAGACAGAATTTAAGTTTAATTCTAAATAATCTACAGCTTTGTATTAAACTTCTTCTTTTTCTTTTTCTTTTTTTTTTTTTTTCAAATGCTGCTGTTTGCTAATAACAGAAACACATTTTATTGGACAGGCAGAAGTAGCCTCTGTTGTGAACAATTTTTTACGCTGTTGATTTTGTTCATTGAACATAAGCATGAGGGGCAGGTACTTCAGTTTCCAAGCTGGTATGTAGTACTAACCAATTCTTCACAGAAAAGCGACTGACACCCTGAAACACATGCACTCTAAGTGGCTCTATCAATGAGCAATTATTATCCCTCATGCTGTCAGCTTCAGCAGTCTCCCCCAAAACTCTGATCAAGTAATCATGAAAACTAAGCTCCAGCTTGCTTGCCATGATTATTGATAAAGCTTTCTGAATTCTTGTCAACAACACCGACCAACGAGTTTCTCTTGTTTTCCTTTTGCTCAAAACTGGTGGTTTACCTCTTTCTTCCATTATTTCATTCAGCTGAAAATTGAAGTCAGGCACACAAAGTGAAGAAAAAGGAAATCTACTGTTTCATGAAACAGCCTCGTCTGAGAGCTGTTTGAAATCTTTTCTGAACTTGTTGGTGCCTAACATTCAAAAAACAGTCAAAAGGAAACAGCAGAATAAATGCTGGGTAAAAAATTACAATTTTGTATGTTTGAAAATGTTTTAGATAAGCAATAAAAACCTTCCACATAGAAAAAACAGAATATGAAATTGATAAAGAAATCCCATGGTAGTTAATTCCTGAAACATGCAACTACAGTGTTTCTTGATCATAAATCAACCTGCAGCCACAATTCTGCAAGGGATAAAAATTTAAGAATGAGAATTTATCAGATAATTTTTAGGGTCCCAGATTTCTTTTCAGTGGTGGCACCATTAGTTCAGTAAATTAAATCTACAAGTTCTGTTCTTTGCTACTTGGCAAGAGCACAGTGGATTATTTCCAATATATTACTTCATTCATGTCAAAATGCAGGTGCAGGGCTTGTGCTCCAACACCACCACCCAGCACTTTATTAAATCCCTTCATTATTGCCATGTTTCTCCTTGTCCTGTCAGTTGCTAGTGATGCATTCTTGTTCTAACATTACTTTGGCTCAGCACCAAGTGAAAAATGAGAGTGAAAAAAAATTCTCTCTGAAGATATACAGAGAACACGGAGTTAAATTATTATACTTTAAGGAAAGGCAGTTTTACTCATAAATACTGCTGGAACACTGTGCTTAAAATCTGGGCACTTCAAGCTTGTCAGTGAAACTACCTTCACAAATATGTATTTCTGTGTACTGGCAGTGACAATTTGCATTTCTGCGAAAAGACTGTTGATGTGAATTTTACTCAGAAAAAAATTAGCTGTGGGTTTTTTTTGTGACAGGACTTTAAGAGTCAGTGGTTAAAGGCAACTTTCCTTTCTCACTGAAGTGTCATCAGGTGCTGTCAGCCAGTTCTAATGTGATTAGACTTCTGAGTGGATAGACTACCAGATTAGTACCAGACAACAACATGGGGCTGGGGTGGGGGGTCCCGTGTGCAGTGCTGTGTGTCCAAGAGATAATGTGTCAGCATCACCAATTTTTCTTGTTTTAATTAGCAAAGTATTGGTTCAGTTATCCATCCATAAGCAGTATGAAAATACTAGTGTGAGAGAAACCTCCACACTCAGAAGAATAAAATCTGTAACCAAAGACAGTACCAGCACAACTATCTCTTAAATAGCAAGAAGATAATTTTTAAAGTATGCTATTAACATGACACTGGAGTACAATTAATAAAGGTCAACCCATTAGAAGCACTGGATCTCATAAAAACTTCTTAATTGGCCTGCATAACCGCAAGTGTAGCCTAAGCCTTCAGCAATCTCCATTCGCTCTTTGCCAGTACAGAACACATCAAGGTTATTCAATGGGGCCGAGTACCTGAAGGAGAAGGCTGTCCTTTTACTACTCCATTTTTAGTCTTTTCTTCAGAATTCATTACTTCTTTGTAGATGAGTTCTGGAAGAGAGAATTGTGACAGTTACTGACAGAGGCCAGTGCCTGTGATCAGGAACAAAACAACTACCACACTGTGCTGTAGCCCTGAGCTTCCTAAGTCTGCCCTGCCTTGTCTTCCCAAGTCTGACAGCTCTACTCACCTAAGACCTCTCTCTTTCATTCCCCTCCTCTCCTCTCATCTCCTTTTGGAGATGAATGGAGACAAATGGGAATCAACCAGAGCAGGAGAACTGTTTAATGCTGCTTTATCTAGAAGAGCCGCAGCACAGTATCACAACACCTTTTACTGTGGCTAAAATTCTGATGCGTTGCCTTGCTGAACAGTATTCTTCTCTCCAGATGATATCCCTGGATTTCAGTGAAGCACTGGAATCCACACCTCCTGAGTTAACATTAACCTATGTAGATAATGATAGCCCTCAGAACAGTTTCCATATTTTTGCTGTTTTTGCTATTTTGTCACTAAAAGACCCCTTCCCATGTTAATTCTAAACTGCAATTACCTTTCCATTCCTCAATTGTATGTTCCCTTTCATCCAGCTGTTTATCATATATCTGAGGAGGAGGCTGCAGGAAAGAAACACAGCTGTTTAGTCAATTGTCAATTATACTGTAAACAATCAGGACTAATTACTTAATTAAAGATAATTTCTCCTCTCTCTTTTTGCAATCCATCCTGTACATGCAAAAACATCTGAAACACATTTGAATATTAAGGAGATTAACACTTCTGGAAGTCAACTCTTTTTGTAGAAGAAATCAACATGCTTCTCTGTTTTCATTTCTTAAAAAGGAAGCATAGCTGCAGTTGAAATAAAACCCACATCAATAACATCATTGTGCTTGTACTGAGCCCTGAAACTCCACACCTAAATTATTTGTACCAGCAGAGAGGTATTGTCAAAATACCAAACAAATATCAGTCTTGATTAATTAGTAGTAACATTAACATATTAATTTTTAATTTTCTTCTTAGATTTGCTGCTATACAAACTTTACAAAATAACTCTAATTTTTAATTAAGTCTCCCTGCGACAGTTATTCATATTCCAAATTGCCAAAATTTACAGTATGTTTTTTTATCTAACTTTACTTTGGACAGAAAGTTTTGGGTTTTTTTTATTTTATTGTGTTTCTTTTAGTTGATGGGAACATCAGAGAACTGAGTGTTACTGGAATTTACTGAGACACAGGCACCTAGAATTTCAGGGAGCCTGAACACCTGCTTTTATTGGGCAACTAAGTCATATGTTCATTGCCTCTCCTGATGCTGTCTGCCAAAAACAGCAGCCAAGGAAGGCAGAAGACTTTCCCCTCCTTCCTTCTACCAAGAAGCTCCAGCATCTGAGGAAAGATTACATAATGAAGACGGAAACAAGATCCACAACATTTTTCTTGCTCAGATGTATTTCCTCTGACTTCCATCTTGGGCGCTTGCCGTTGTGTCCCCTTCAAAACATCCTCCTATTAAATGCATATTTACCAAGCTGTTTCCCTGAATCAGTAAGAATTTAGAAATTTTCTCTCAGGAGTCTAACTCCATCAGTCCATTAAGCCATTTGCATGCTACAAATACAACTGAAAAAGTAATAGCTCAGTGACATGGAAAATTACATGATAGCTGAACTGCACAAGTCCACTGAAAACAAGGGATGTTTCCCCAGCATGCCATTTGTATCAGGGCTGAAGATAAGGGGATTAAATGAATTTATAGATTACTAAATCTCATACCTGAGAAGGTGCTGAGGAAACATGTCATGAATTAAAGTGAGTGCCAGACCTCAGCATGGGTACCCAAGGTTTTGTTATATCAGCAAAGACACAGCCCTGTAAGAGTCTGAGTCCCAGACCAATGCAGCTGTTCTCTTATTCATCATAACCACTCTTCTCACGCCTTTCCAGAGAGTCCTGATACCACCAAGATCAGCACAACCTCTGTGGGGATTCTGCGCTCCTGATGACAGAGTTGTCTGAGAGCTGGATGTACCAGAGTACAGGTGATCCTCTCCACTGATCAGTGGGGTGTGATAAGTAAGCTCCACTCCTCCAGCTGAGCCTGCTGGGCTCCTGTTCAGCCACCTAGCCAGCCCTGGAACATGCATTTCCTACCAGAGAAAGCTGGCCAAGCCAAGGAGCAGCAGAGGAGGTATTTGGCTGAACTACAGCTGAACCACAGTGACAGAGCCACCTCTTCTCTTCCAGGTGCAAAGGGAACAGGCAAACCAAGAATATCCTGAAAGTAGCTTTCTAAAAGCTTCAGGGAAAAGCCTACAAAAAACATAGGTGGGGGTAAAATTGCTTCTTTTTACACCTCAAAGAGAAATACAAGTTTTTCTCCCCAGACAGAAATAAGAGGATATATTTAATTTACTACTTTAATTCCCAAACATAAATTGCATAATCAAAAGGAACAAGTGATCAGATGCACCTGTTCTCAATTCACACAACCTCAGAATCTTTGCCTTATTTATCTTCTAATTTATTTCAGCTACATCTTAAGCTGGGGTAATTAGCTAATAAGCACCAAGAAAATCGTCACTAATCATTGCGTAGATTAATACACTCTTGAAACAAAGGCATTTTCCAGGGAGAGAGCCCACAATAATCTCACTCAGTACCGAGCTCCTATTTTTCTCTGGAGCCAAACAAAGGAGAGCAACCAAGCTGTCCTTCACACACTGCAGGATGCCAGGAGCTGCACCTGCACAGCATTCTACTGCTCTGCCAGCGCTGACATTGCAGACTTTTTACTTGTGAGTTAGCAGAACCCACAGCTATGAGACGTGGCTCTTGGCAGGCATGAGGGAGCCAAGGGTGACAAATATGCAGCAAGACAGTAGCATGAATAAATCCCTGCTCTTCACAGAGGCAGGGTATGTAACCACTCTGTGCAGGGCATAGTCCAGTGGAGCTCTGCTGAGAGGCCAGGCCTGTGCTTCACACTGGGAGAAGGGAAGCTTTCCCATCAAAATTCCCTGAGTCCTCACCTTTTTATTGATTCAAGGCACAGAAATGAGCTGAGAATACCAAAACTATTTTGAGAATATATCTTCCCACAATTCTCATTAATTCATAGGAGAACCACAAAGCTTAGTACACTGTTATCAATATATTGTTATCCCCTACATGCTGACCACCCCTTTTCTACTAACTTGTTTGTTTTGTGGCTTTTTAAAAAACCAATTTCTAAAATTAGAGGGAGGTCTGGAGGTTTTTAAAGATAATAAGAAAGAATTGTCTCAGCAATGGAACAATCAGAGCAGCTGCCATACCAACGCCCTCCTGGGCACCTGATTTTAGTCGTGGTGCAAAGCTTTGCCTAAAACTGACTTTGCTACCTAAATCAAACATCTTAGAAAATGACTGAGTTCATAATCATTAACTTTCCATGTGTATGCAGCTGCAGTGTTATAGGCGTTCTTATAAACCCTTCATACTGCACATGCTAAATGAGAGTTACATAGTTTACTTTTTTAAGGTGTCTGAAAACAGACTGGGTGTGGCACTTGGTGCCATGGTTTAGTTGATAAGGTGGTATTAGGTCATAGGTTGGATTGATGATCTCCAAGGTCTTTTCCAACCCAGCTGATTCTGCGATTCTGGAGGTCTCAGAAAAAGCACGGAGTTCAAGTAGTATCAAATCAAGGCAGGGTGTGGATCAATCCTATGGGTGGCAGCATCCAGGTTCAGTTTAAGGCAGCCATTTTCTCCCCAAAACAGATTTATTTGCAAGCAGTTGCACTGCCAACACTAATGAAGAATATAATTTATTTTTGGATGCAGAAGCAAAGGAATTAATTATATTTTTTTCTTGTAGGTACTAAAACACCCCCCTGTTGTTTCAATGGCTCTTGGCTTTTCCATTTTACAAATTGATTTTCAAAATATTTTTGTATTAAATGTAACATTCATTGGACATAATAAAAATTTAAAAAATACCAACCCAACAGGGGTTTCTTTCTGGAAAAAAAAAAAAAGGCAAACAATTACACAAAACCAACCAAAAAAACAAACAAAAAAGCAAAATACACAAAAGACAAGGGGGGAGTTTATGTTGTCAGATAAACAGCAAGAGACTACTGGATTTGTTAAATACCATTGTAATATCCAGAGAGGGGAAGCTTTACACTAGAGAAAAAAACCAAAACATATGTTGACACCGATGTATTCTCACTTTCCCAAAGAAAACAGATCGGTTTGTATGCCAATGCTAGAAAGCAAGGGAAATGGGCTGGAACTCACACTCAAGCAAACCCTGCCATCTCTGTCCCTGCCTCTGCAGGGCTATTGCCAGCACAGTGGAGACCTTGGGATGAGCTGTTTTTAGAAAGCTTGGCAGAGTAAGGCCTGAGTCTGCATCTCTTCCCAGAATTGCAGGGTCTGGGGCAGTTGTGGAGCAGCACAACGGAGCAGCGATGGAATTAGCAAGATAATGCACATAAAAGAGGGACTGAGAATGCAAACATTAATGGTGTGAGGTTAAACATCTTGTTAAATAGCTTAGGTCCTTAGAACAAGTGAATACAAAAATTCCTTGGTGCTTTGCTGCAACTTAAATTGTGTTACTGACACCATTCATATATTTATTTTTGCAGTGCAAGCCCAAGTACACCAGTGTGCTTGTCACTAGAGGTCTGGCATCTCTTTATTAGAAAGTTCTTGGGATTTCACTCTGTATTGCCAAGGGATTCCACAGTGGGCTAGGGATGATTTCAGCTATGGATATGGAAGAAGAGATGACTCTGGGCCCATTTGTTCCTTGGATTTTCTGCAGAGGCTTTTGGAAAACTCCACACATTATGTGCATCAACGAAATCATAGACTGAGCTATTTCTGAACAGCTGGACCATAAGGATGCCATGCAGCAGGAGTCAAGATTACTGGGCTACACACAGATGACTGAACAGCTTGAAGATACAACAAGCAAGCCGGAAAAAGATTAAAAGATTTGGTTCAAAGAAGAAAATAAGAAAAAAAAATGCCTCTTTCTTCTCTAACCACTCCTCCTCACTGACATGAACAAAGACTTTTGCAGAAGCTGTGTTCAGCTTCCGTAATCAATCAGCTATGAATGGATAGATGTTGTTGAGGAAGTATCTGTGCCTGTGCACAAAGCAGAGCTGTACACTTCTTTTGTGAGACAACAGATGAACACCATCAATCTCTGAGCAGAAAACCAAGCCCTGTAACCGAGTGCTAAAAAATGTGGCAACTCATCGAGGGCTTTCTATACAACATCTATACATACAGAGCTGACCAAGAGAAAAGAAGAGCAGAAAAGATGCACAACCTGACAGCCTTGCTTATATCATGCAGTGAAGGTTACACCTTCTTTGAAGTGTGTTTGCCAAGGTCACAGAGCTCTCCAAAGTGCTTCTCCATCATAATGGATGTTTAGCACTCACAGGTAAAAGAAGAGGTCAGTGATTTTTTTTTTTTATTCTGACATCTAATTTTTAAAAATTGTATTTAACAGCTGGTCAGTTAGTTATAGATCGTCTATATAGGGCTAAGACAATACAGCAGCAGTTTCTGTCCTGGACCTCAGACTGAGAACCATAAACCAAGGTTTTTTTCATTAGTAACACTGGAAACAGCATCACATTAATAGAAGGGAACACACAGATTGGCATGCACAGAAAAATGAATGATAATTCACAACTAAACCCCCTGTGGATGGTCCTAGATGCAGAAATACGCCAGTGAAATATAAATCCTATGAAAATAAAACCAAGAATGAAAGCTGTATGAGTTACAGTGAATAAAACCCCACAAAATCTATCACTGCTGTAAAATACTGTCAGACATAGAGGAATGCTTGAAAGGAATATTTTTAACACCTGATCTTTCTGATTCATAGAAATCTCTCTTCTAATGGATGGCACATATCAGATAACAAACAATAACTGCAGGTACAGGAAAGTTCAAGATAAATTTTGAAACCAGTTAACAGAAACGTCACATAATAATCTACAGCAAATTTTGCTACTGGATTTGTTCCCATGAAATGGAACAAGTTTTCCCAAGTAGGAATCAATATGACATCATACATACATTCAAAAGGTTCCAAAATGGAATCCAATATGACATTAATGGTTTCTTTGAATATACCAATAGCAAAAGGAATAACTTTTCTGTGCTAAAGCAATGTGTAGGAATCCATTTTATTTGCAATTTGATCATTTTGGGATAAAACCCCGTGACCTGTGAATAGGTATAAACATTAGGATAGATATGAAAGATTAAATACCAGATTCAGGATTTATTCACAAATCATCTCAAAGAAGGGTGAGAATATATAGCAGCTTCAAGAAAAAAAAAAAAAAAAAAGCAGCTGGGTAATTTAAAACAGTCTCAAGCACAGAATTTTCAGACAGGAAAACAGAGAAGCTAATATGTCATCAGGGAGATACTGAGATTATCTACAATAAACAGGATAGTCTGCATGTAGACGCAAGAGATATTGTAAACCTCTTCTTTCCAGAAAACAGAACCAGAGCAATTGGAGGGAGAATAGGTATCATGTGTGTCATTTATTCATAGAATAGTCCAAATTGCTGTTATATAGCTAAATATTCTAACATCAAAGTAATAAACATAAAAACAATAAACATAATATTTGTGGAACTGATACAGTTGTGCAAAAAAAAAAACCCAAAACAAAACAAAACAAAACTTCTAGGAGAGTCTTGAACTAAAGAATAAAACAGAGAAGTAAGTTCTGTAAGTTCCTATTCTGATTTTACAGTAGACCTCCTGTATAGTATTAGTAAATAATACTTTTGCCCTGTGAAATTTTGTTTTCCTACATTTAAATTAGGTGTGAAGATTGATAACAGATTTCAACATCTGGGAATTCCACACAACCCGAGCCATACGTGTTCTCCTGTACATGTTCTGCATGTTCTCCTACTTTTTAAAAACACATATATTAGTGTCATTGGCTGAACACAGAAATGATCTTAACTGTAATGCTATTCAAAATAATTTCAGAACAATGGTGTATGCTCTGGGGAACCTCACACTGTGACTTTCTCATCCGAGATACTGTGGCAAGCTGCATGTACTTAAAAGAACCTGGCAAACTACCTATGTTAGCCACAAGAATTCCCTGTAAATCCAAAATCCACAGGTAAGCTCAAAAGCTGTGCAAGGCCTGTTTCTAGCTGTATGTTGCTGTTTCAGAGCTAGTGAGGGCTTTGGCTGAAGTTTATTTCATGCAGAAGTTCTGTGGGAGAGCCACAGCACTGTTTGAGTAACCTCCTGTGGCTGGTGAGTAGCAAGTCCTACATCTAATAACAGCTCATCTTCCTCTCTGGGTCAGGGAATCACACTTGGCTTTTAGGGTCACCAGAAGAGTTTAATGCTGGGACACATTGTGGGGGAAAGAGTATTGCATTCCCAGCACTTCCCATTTGTGCACGGTGTTTGCCAAGACTGGCAAACATTAGAAACATTAGAACAAGATATAATAGTTTTATTTCCTTCACACAGTCTCTGAAAGACCATAAACTTATAATAGACTTATAAAAAGAGACTGTACCTGTCTCACTAGTCTGCTTTTTAACTGGGAAGGGCTGTTTTATCTGTTTCCCTCACATTTATAATGCTGTAAATCTGAGCAGACACTGAGGGTTGTTACCTCCAGGTTAAACTTTGACACCGAATTCTCTGCTTATTCCCTGAGCTGGCTTCAGTGCTCTGCATTGTCTACTCCAGCACATGCTGACATTTAAAAATGCTGCAACAGCTCACTTCAAAATTCCTGTCACATTAAATGCTTTCAGTTACCTGTCCTCTCATGCTCCTGAATGAAATGGACTCTGTACAGATGCCTGGCTGCTTTTGATGAAGACATTTACTGGGGAGAAGGAGGAATCTAACTAGACAGCAGAAGTTACCTAATTCCCCCCTCTCCAGTGCTATACTGGCTGAAAATATCATCTTGTTTAATATCATTGTATCTTAATTTCTGTTATCCCTACTGTACAGGATTACTGATAGTGGGAGGAATTCTGTCTCATATCACAATATGGGAGGAGAACTTTAAAAAATCCTAAAACATCCCACTACCAAACCTTTAGCTACATGATGAAAGACTTCTGTGGAAAAGTGCTTATCAGGTATTACAAAAAAAAAAAAAAGAGTGCAGTGAACATGGGCAGATGCAACACGCTGCAGGCTTCTAAATCCCAGTGGGGGAACCAGGAAAAATAGTGGGAAGTTAAGCATTATGCAAGTGACCAAGCACAACTCTGTCACTAATTTTCCCATTGCTTTCATGTCAGGTTCCCTGGCTGCACATTTGTAGGGCAGTCTATGAAAGAGCAGGGTTGCCTTATAGAGTCTCATCATGCTGCAAATTCAACATTAACGAGCCACATGGCCATTCTTAGGCTTTGAAATGTCATTCAAATACTATATTTTGTTCAGTTGTACCCTATTATAACTACTGTGGTTTTGTTCAGTAAAGTCAAATTTACAGAGTCAGATTATTAGGTGAATAAGCAAAAGTATCTACCTCTCCAACAGCTAATTTGTTGGATGTTTTTAGAAGTCTTTTAAATTCTAAGCCTGCTATCAATTTGGTAAGATCCAACAAAAATACGAGATGAGTAATTTCCCCATTGCCCATGGCATTAGGAAATATTTACTGAATTTGATCCTAACTCTTCTGCAGTTGTAAAAGGGCAGATATCTCAGTGGAGTACTTGCTTTAGAAAACCCTTCTGAGCAAGAACAGAAAACCACCAATATTCTACAAATAGTTTTGGGGTTTTTTTCCTCCAGAAAATTATTAGTAAATTACTTATATCTAACAACTGAAGGTGTATCAGCATGAACAGATGGATATTTATAATTTATAATTTCATTGTGAAAAGAAAGTCTTCCAATTTAACTTTCCCTCTGAAAATGAGACAGGCAAAATAAAGCCCTATAAAGTACTCCTAAATAACATCCTCTGAAAAAATCCCATGTGCTGGAAATTTCATGAGGGTTTGAACATTCAATTTACTTTTGAAGTTTACTGCACTTTCAAGAGCACAGACTGAATTGGAGCGTATCACTAAACAGAAGTGATTTAATTTTACAAGGTCTTCATTTCCTATGGTGGCTAAATCAGATTTCTAAACCTGTTTTCATATATTTCATAGAGAGTATTATATATTATATATTAATATTATATATTTCATACAGGCACCTCTCTGAATTTATACCTATACCCATTATACCATACCTTTTATACCATGTCACTGAAGTGCTGACAGATTACACTTATCCCTGTTAACACCAGCCTCACCAAGGCTTACAGGGGGCTTGACAGGATTAGAAGAAAAAATCCATTTCTGTTCCTACACAGTGTATACATGATACTGTGCATTAAACCATAGCCCAGGAAAACACCTGAGCCCCTCTTTCATTTTGTGGAAAAAAGTTATGTCCTGCTAAGCTTTTTCTGAATTCTGACTTCAGGATTTTTTTTCAGAATCCCAATTATTTTTTTGCTTAATTCTCCTCCTCTTTACATATATCTTTCAACACAGACATAAAAAGTGGTGTTTGCTGTCTTCCACATGGAAAGGTTTGGAAAGAAAGATAGTATCTTTTGCCAGATTAATTTCTATAGCTAAAAAGGTGAGCTAGTGGATTCAAAATCCTTTCTAGAAGAAAGCAGAAAATGGCTTCATATTCTTGAGGTGTTTTTGTTCCTCCCAACTATTATCAGTTAATCTAATAGAGAGATATTCTGTCCCTACAGATCTCATTTCACATCAATCCCCAGACCACTGCTGTCTCAGCATTGTTTCTTTCCAGCATGCTCATTATCCTGCTGCTGTAAAGCAGCAGGAATCCCTGAATCCCATTTGTGCTTGGCATTCTGAAGGGAGGAGTGCTGCCTCACTTACCGCCTCCACCTCTGCTGGGTCGTACCAGACATTAATGTATGGATGCTGTAAGGCTTCATCTACTGATATCCTCTTGGCCGGATCAATGACCAGCATCTTTGATAAGAGGTCCCTGGCTTGGCTGGCTGGAACAAGGGAAGCAGACAAACACAGCGTTAGTACAAAACAACCTCTGCCTCCAGAGGAGGATTAGTAGGGGTAGGAAAATAGCAGTGGCACAACCCTTTGAGGGATTGGTTGTGTGTGTACTTCTGCTCCCTTGCCTCCTCATAGCAAGAGCTCTTCAGTAATCATTTTAGGTCTGATTCATTAGAAAGATGCCAAAATCAGGGCTGACACCATAAGCTCCCTAACAAGATTTAGTAACATTTTACATATGTGCAGATTCCACACAGAGGGATGAATAATATCCCATGCTTGATGTATCTGTGATTATTACCAGGATCCAAATACAAAAGTTCACATAAAGAAATCTAAAGGCATGGCATTACTAAATCAAAGCCTGAAACTTACAGGCACTCTTAGACTGGCACAGAAAAACCTCCGCACTTCTCTGGATGTTTTAAAGTTTCTCACCTAACCTGCTGTGAAGCATGAAACATTTTAATGAGGTATAGAGATTAGACTAATCTTAAGGCATCCCCTTAGAAGCAATAATTTCAAATCTGTACCCTTGTGGTATGGAAGTGTTTGGAACTGCTTGAGTCTTGTTTGTTCTGCATAATGAAATTTAAATCAGTGGGGCACATAATCCTGCACTGCATATACACACATATATATAGATATATATACATCTATATATATATATACATACAAACATTGAATTTTACATTGCAGCATTGATTTATTTTACCTGATAATATATTCCATTGTGCCTATCAGGCAAACAATGCCACAACAAAGCCACAAACTCAGCTTTATATTACCCAAATGGATTTTTCCTAGTTGGAGTTTGTAAAAAATATAATAACATCTTAACCCACATGAAAAAATTGTAACAACATATATTTCTGTTATTATTGTTATTATTAACCATATAGTGTTCTAAGATCTCGGATGCTCAGAATTATTTGCTGTGTAAATGAAAAAGACAATGAAAGGGAAAAAAGCTGCAAAGAGCAGCAAGTGCAAAGATATTATTAGGTATCTCATCATACATGGGTGAGTGTCTAATTAAACCACTAACATTACATTATGGTGAAATATTTAGGCAGGGCATGGGATGATACAAGGCTGCACAAGTAGGGATTCCTGAATTTTTGCTTCGTGGCTGTATCTTCATAACTGGCATTCAGGATGCTCAAATGTATCTGCTCTCTGTACCCAAAGGATAACTGCACTGTTTGACAGTAATTTTTATTCTTTAGCTGCAAATGTAGGAAAATTCCATTATTCATTTGTGTTGTGGTAGGAGTATAAAATTCTGTGTATCCGAAAGCATCTGCCCAGACCTTTCCCTTTACTCCCAGAGCCAGGACAGCAGCTTGGCTATGAAGCAGTTGTTAACTGGAAGAAAATTCTGGGTCATGTAATGACATGCAAATTGTAAGCAATTGAAAAACACTAAATGCCACTGTGGTGGGTGGCTCCAAGGACTGGAGTGGTGCAGAGCCAGTACAGCACAGGTCTGCAGGGGCTCCAGGGCTGCATACTAAGCACCCAATAATCACTCTTTCCCATTGAAGGTCAATGCCCCATTCAAGTGAAAAAATACTTCAATACATTATTAAAATCATGGCAATTTTTCTTCTACAGGGGGATATCTAATCACACTGCAATTAAGTTAATTTTCTACTTCACATATCTTAAGTGGCCCACGGGATTTTTCAAAAAAAGAAATCCACCCCAGTGGATATTAATCCTTGGCTACTTAATTTTGGCTGATGTTGATAATATATTTGTATTTTCTAGTAAAGGTAGAGCTATGAGGCAGGCATTTGGCTGAACTGGTATTTTTTACCTAAAAAAAAGCCAGTGCAAGCGCTGAGATCTCCCAATGGAAGTTCCATTGTTCCTTTGTGTTACAAGTTCAAGAATAAGAGTAAAGGCATGTGGGACTCAGATTCAGTCAAAGAGAGAAACTAGAGTTTCTAGCCAGGCAGAAGCCTGGGAAGGAGCTGGAGAAGAATGTAAATAATTCTTTATCTCTCTTGTTTTTCACATTATTTATAGTTAAGTTCTATCACTGTGCGTCAAGCACTTTGTGCCAATGGTGTGGGTTGTTTTCACTTCAGAACCAATGGAGTTGGTCCTCACGAAGCTCTGTATAAAAGAGCAGTGTATTTTGAATAAATTGGAATTTTACTCTCACAGCTTTCTGGTCAGTCTTCTCATTCCCGTCCTGCCTCGACAGCGACAAAGGAACACCTCAATTCCTTGTGGCACAGGATCATCACATGGAACACCATGGGAATATTCTCAGTGCATCAGTGATTATGTTCCCTTGGCTGCTCAAGCACCAGGATCTCCAAAAACCATTTCCAAAGCCTGCCTCTCAGCTGAACAAAACCCATGCAATCACTGGTCTGCAGCTAAGTGCATTAAATGGAGTGCAACTAGAGAGAAGAAAAATTGGAAAAGGCTTAATTCCACTGCAGCTGTTGCACATGAACCATGTCCCTTTGTCAGACATACCTTTGAGTTTGTTGTGTTCCGAGTCTGCTGGGAAGAGAGAGTCTGGAAAAAGTTTGGGGAAAGTGAGGCCAGCATACTTGGGTCTGTTCTCAACATAGTTCCGTACTGTTGGCTGCAGCTTCTTCATGAATTCTGGACAGGGTGTTCCCAGCTGCTCAATAACTTTATTCCACTGATCAATATCTGAACACCATTAGTTAAGGGAAACAAAATGCAAGCCCCCATGTAGCCTCCTGACATTTCTGCTTGTGTTCTCTGAGAATTCTCAGAGTTATTTAACTCCCTTCATAACATCTTTGCAGTCACTATCTTTCCTTCTCGTCTCACTATTCCTCCAGGTCCAACAGTCTGCAAAGGGAAAAACTCTCACACACAACTCACACAGCTGCAGGACATTGTGCAGTTCTAAAACCATGACCACCACAGAACAACACACAGATTCTTCTCCTTGGGTCAATGCTTGTTACCATTTTTTTTTTAAACTTAAAATCCAGTGACTTGCACTGCCGTTTCTTACATGCAGATAATTGTCAGTGCATCAGCTTGTGCACCTTCCTCCCTATTCAGTCTGTGGAGAGGGAGACCCAGCTGGCTTAAAGAAGTTCTGCACAGGACAAAAAACTTCTTCCACTCATCTGCTTTGCACTTTACTCTCTCCAATAACTTCATTGATGCTAATTTTTCCAATACTAGCCAAACAGCAACCCCTCAAAAATAATTTGTTTGATTTTATAAGAATGTACTGGAACTCATTTTCTGTTAACAAATTATGCACAGGTGTAGACAGATGTTTCTCTTTAACATCTAAAAACATTTAAAAAAACATTTAAAAAAGTGACAGCTACATTGCTAATCTGATACTGGCTAATGGGAAACAGGCCCTAATGACTAAAAAGAAAGTGTATTACAGGCATTTCATACTGAGCTTTCTATCTGTTGAGGTGTTAATATTTTAGTTTTCTTGTGCTAACATTTAGGCACCTGATGGGTGTTATGTAGCTCTTTCAGCCACATTCAGAAGAAGACTGACTGTGCTAACCAAAAAGCAAATTATCAGTAACATCTGTACATCACACTAATTCACAGAGCTAAGAACCTGATGACTACAAGGGAAAAAAAAAAAGGATTACATGCAGCCATGGGTACCTTGATATTAGGAAGTATGATGAAGGGAGATTTGCTAAGAGCACACTAGAAAGAAAAGACTTTTAAAATACAAAGATTCAAAGCATTTCAGCACAAACATTTCTTTTCTTAAAAGTATTCTCTTAAGTTATTATTTTCATCAGTATCATAAGTGTGGAGGAGTTCTCAAAATATTAAGAAAGATAACAGAAAAAAAATAGGCCAAAAAATTGCAGTAGCAATTTCTGTTTTTAAAAATTATTTTAGAAAAATGAAAACAGTCTTTTCATGTATTTTGGAAAGTAAAGACAGACTAAATTTGTATTTACCTTAACTATCTTATTTGAACAAAAAAAAAGCTAATAATTTGTTTTAAAATTGCAGGTTTACTAATCAAAAATGTTTAAATGAATGAAAATCATTTAAACATATGCTTTAAGAATTCCAAAGCAGTCTTTTAAATGGTTTTATTTTCAGCTGAAAAAGGCTGCTAGAAATAGCAGCAGTCTGAAAAGATTTTTCTGAATACCTCTTATTTTTTAAACTAACATGAAGATTTATGTAGAAAAGCCCCTCCCACACACACCCTCTGTAGGTTGTATGTAGCTTATCTTGTGTTGTCCATGAAAAATACTTTTTTTATCAACAGAAAACTGAACAATTACAACAACAGTAAAGTTATCTAAGACTACATCTGCTCAAAGAGTAGTCTGAATATTTCATTAAATATTTCATTAGAAAATTAAGTGGTTTGACATTTTAAACTTGAGTTCAAGTCAAGATACCTCAGTGACTGCTAGCTGAACTGCTTCAGAAGCAGGTCTCTGAGGAACTTGGGAATACAGAGTGTGTAAATGCTTTGCAGAGAAGAAGAGAGAGTACAGCAATGAAGAGGCTGTTAGCTGTGCCAAGAGAAGCTAAATGGGTGAGAGAGCCAAGTTCTAAAATCATCACTGGAAGCATTACCTTTCTATGTTGAGTGAAGTGTTAGATAACCAGGGAGGGCCAAACACAGGACTTGCTTCAAAGGAGACCACCCGTGTACAGAGCAGGTGAACCATCTCCCAGGCATTTAATAAAGGCCAAGGAAAAACTGATCTTTGGGATCACAGAATTATATGGGACTTGGACACACTGAGAGGGAACATCTTGAAAGATGCCCTAGATATGAGCAATAAGGGAAAAGGGGTACAAGAAGTTCCCAGAGAAAGGCTAACATGATGCGAACCACTGTCAGTGATGATGGAGAAGGGAGAAGGAAAATACACAGAGAGATCAGCTCCCACTGCACACATTCCTTCTAAGCTGACAGAAAGGCTCTCACTAAGAAAAAACAAGCAGGCTACCACCCACAACTGGGACATTTTGAGATGGAGTCACCAGTGCAAAAACCAGAGCCAAAGGCAACGGAACTGGCAGAGTCACCATGTTCTGCTCCTTGACTGGACTTGATTTGCAGGATAGCACTGGACCTTTTACAGCCCTGCTCTTACCAAGAGCCAAAAGGTCAGGCTTTATGTCACAGCAACCTCAGGGACTGGTTTTGAGTAATGAATGATCTGAATGGGTAATTGTGCTTCTTTACTGTATTTTTTTCTGACTTATGTTGTTCATATACAGCCAAACCCCTTAAATAAAATACATTTATTTGCTCTTTAGATGCATTTACATGTACACACACACACACAAAAATTGACACACAAACTCAGGACTGTTTTTGTCCTGATAATAGCAATAACAAAACCATGCTAAATGAAAGCAGTTAGATATATGTTTTAGTCAGCTGGGCACACACATATTCTCTCTAGTAATGGTTCTCCCCTTACCTACACCTTAAAACCACTGGATTATATTCTGCTGGTCCAGCTCCATTTTACTGTAATGTTTTATGCAGTGACCACGTGTGATGCATCTTTGATGCACCTGGTGATTAGAAGTTGTATCTATCATGGTATGAGATTAAAAAAAAGTCTTGGAAAAAAATCTGAGGTCTACACATCAAAGCAAAGAAACAGCTTTCTCAAGCTGCCAGTCAGCATTAGCTTCAGCAATTCTGCAGGAAACAAATGCGACTACAGGACAGTCCTAATGTGAATCAAAATCTACAGTAGGTGACATGAATCAATTAAAGATTGTAACTATTGATGTTATTTAAAAACAGTACTAAAAGTTAGTGATCATGGAACTCTGATGGAAGTTTTCCAGGATACTAAAAAAACCACCAAAAACTCAAACAAACAAACAAACAAACAAACAAACAAAAAACCAAAAAATCTCTTAAGAAGAAAAAAAAAGAGGACCCTTTTTTTCCCCTTGAAATTAAGCAAATGTTAGACAGATTGACAGGATTTACAGTTGGAAAGAATTCCAACCCAAAGGTCTAGAAAATTATGGAATGTCTGCTTAAAAGCTATTTGAATCAGTTCAGCTGTCCACTGCCCCAAGCAAGATCAACGAAATGTGTCAACTCTTCACAACAGCATCTGTATGATTTAAGACAGAAGAAGGGCTCTAACCTGGATTTATTAGCTTGCCTCTGGCACTAACGATACAGTATTTAGTAACATTAAGGTGGCCACATAGAGATACAGCAAAGATTTAAGAATATAGATCAAAAACGAGCATCTTCTGAATGAAGATTTATCACTGAGACCTCAGGTAGCCTCAAGCTCACCCACCACCTTTTCTCTTTGCAGCTTTATACTCTCCTAAGGATTGTTCCCCTTTGCTTTCTAAATACTTGGTTACTTATTTGGAAACAACATGAAGCTGAACTGCCGATTAAGTGACATATTTTTTCTAAAACAAAGGCATAAAAATTTAATAGGAAAATAATATTGTGAATTAACAATAAAGTGTTTCTTTTGAAAAAATCAGATTTCACAGTAAATTTATCTATTTAGAGGCACAGACTGAAAGTGTGCATTTTTTCTGTGTGCATTGATGCAATATAGTTCAAAAATGAGGATTAAAAACCAGTGTTTTGTTAATTCAGTTGTAAACCTCAGATAAATTAAATTCCTGAAAATTTCCATACAAGTATAAGGAAATTGAGTTTGGCTATAAGAGAAAATTTACAATACTTCTCTGTCTCAATCAGAAAATATTAAAAGCATTTCTACAGTGTACAAAATAGTAGCTTGTAATTAAAAGAACAATTTAGACAACAAATTATTGTCTTCCTATCTAGCCTCAAAATCACAACAATTTTTCTTTTTCCTTCTCATGACATGTCTGTGCAAATCACCCTCTTTTTTTGAGTAAAGAATTGTATTTTGTTAAGTTCAATGCAAGGTTTTGCAGGAGGAGTTACTGTTTGCCTTGGGATGTTTCGGTTGTACTGCAATACAAATCACTTAAACTCTCATGTTTGTTCACCTGAAAGAGAAGCCTTTTTCTAAAATCCTCCCCGAGCAGTATCTATGGACTGTGATGTAGCTATGGGCTGTGAAGCAACTATGGGCTGTGAAGCACGAGTAATTGAGCCAGAATGCCTGTTTATGAGAGAACTGTTGGAATTGTGCTGGACAGTGGTGGTGCTGGTGGGAATCCTGCTTCCCTGCCTGGCACTTTCTCCATCTGTCCAGCAGCACTTCTGCACCAGCTTTGCTGTGCAGGAGCAGGATTTGCTCTTTGTGTTGCTTCTGGACATAATTAAAATTAGGATGTATAAAATCTTTCTTTTCTTAAGGTAGGCACAACATAAACAAAACAGACACAGCATGTTTTGTTTGTAACAGATAGACAGGGGAATATCATCTCTTTTTAATCAAAAAATTTTGAGGGAACCACCTTGCTAATTGTTTTCTCCTTAAATCTGAATATTCCACCAATAAAAACTAAGTGCTCCACTTCAGTGCTCATAACTAGTCAAATTTAGAATAAGTACTATGAAAAGCTCTGCAGTTCTCTTCACAACACCAAATTGTGGCAACAACTGCAAAGTTGATAGGCCAATTTTTTTTTTTAATTTTTAATTGGACCTTTCTTTTAAAAATAAATCTGCTAAAAAAGACACTAGCCAGCTTCACTGTGGGAGACATCAGTGTCACACTCAT